TTCAACGAAAGGAGACTGCGACCACACAAAAGGCCACACCATCTTGGTCTTTATACCTTCGATTAAAGAATCTAATGCCATTTTTTTGTATATTTAGGATATAAATAAAATAAAATAAATGACCATTAAATATAGTTAATCTGAATAACTGAAATAAATTGTAATTAGGTGGCAGCACTTTCTGTCTAATTTTAAATTTATATTAACATGCAATCCAAAATATAATAAGTAAGAAGAATTTTGCTTTATAGTATATCGTTTCTAAATATTTCAGTAAAGGATGATTTGTATAAATGCTTTTGTTTGACGACTTTTGGTGATATCATATATATATATATATATATATATATAAGTTTGTTAATGGACTTTTGTTTACATTTTTGTCTACTTATTTATTTATCAAAGAATGATCTTTTTTAGAGTCAGCACTATTCGACCAACATGAATAGTTTGCAGAGATATAATGGTGTCCATTGATTTGGAATCTATTTTTTACACAGACTTGCGAGATGATCGAATTGTCCGACCTTGCTAAACGCTTCGAGTGGCACACTATCAAGACGCAATGTTGGGACTCTGCACTGGTTCCAGGTCGCTCACTTTATGGCTTTGGAGTACCCCTAGAGGTGACTAATTTTCCTATGCTTCAGCGATCTCATGATGAGCTCTGCAAGCTCGCTGCAGTAAAGGCGCGCCGCATGCTACAAAAATTCGTTTCCACTCAACGAGACCAGCTGGAAGAAAGTCTAGCCTCACCAAAGCGTATCAAGGCAAGGGAGATTCAATCGTTGTGTTTTAAACATTGCAAATTCATCATTTTAAGAAATTAAGATTGATTTATAGGTTGAACCCTAACGTATTCTCCAGCAGTTGCGGAACAAATAAAATGTCATATTTGGATTTTTATAAAGAACGTCCATTACTCTTTAAATGATTTGCTGCCCCATCAGATTGGTACTTTAGTCATTGGTTATTTAATGGTTCCAAAACAAATTGTTATTTTCACTTTGTGATTTGACACAGTACTATCCCTCATTCTACCGACTGATTTGGAATAAATCAATATAAAGTTTTTTGATGAAAATTAGGTCAGTGATTTGGAGATGGAAATTTTTTCCAATCTGAATATAAATTGCTCATGAAAGTCGGAGTGGAATAGTCAACTAATTTTCATAAATCTTCCACCTATTAGTAAGATTGACGTGCTACTGAAACGAAGGATTATGAGGAGGTGAATTTTACTGAAAATTATCAGTATTATTTAGCATTTCCCACTAAAGCATGTGTGAAAATAATTAAAACTTCTCTTATGATCACAACAATATTCACTATCTATCTACTAACTTTTCAAGGTAGACTTTTACCAATAAATATTGGCAATTCACATAGGTGCTGGAAGTAAAGTTTATTCTTTTTACATTGGACTTCAGATCATGTATACAAGTCATGCAAGTAACCCGATCCAGACTGCATTTACATTGCTTACTGCTTCACATGTTTGGTGATACTACCTCATGCGACCAGCGTTACCTTATAATCTATCATGTATCAAATAACCATAACATTTAAATATTTTCACATCTAACCTGGTTATAGATCTTGAAGTCTTTTTAGACATGTACAATTCAAATTTGCCAATGAATGTAAGAGAATAACACTTGATGGATTGAACCTATTCGAAATCCGTTGTAAGAGAAACATCTACATGCATCATAAGTGATTATAGTAAAGGAGTCAGGCAAACATTCACAGTGTATCTGACAAAATTTGATTTTATCTTGTTCTTATATAAGGTTTTAAATAGTCCTGAACTTAACTCTCTACTCACAAATAAAAGTTGTTTATTTTCAGAGGGTTTTATAAAGACAAGCAGTCGAAATCAGAATAATGAGAGATTTAGTACGCCCAGGCTGTAGATTAAATCCAAGCGAAACTAAGCAATATGTCCAGAAGAAAGAAATTCATACTACAAGCCTAGAAGGCTATTTCCCATGAGCGGATTCGTGGGCTTTGCGAGTAAGCATGTGGCTCAAATTTTATAACTGGTAATTGAAAATCAAAAGAATATGTATACAGTATAAAATAAATATTTACTGAAACATAGCTAGACGAAGAGTTTGCCTCATCGAATTTCCTCTACATCCAGAGGCGTCTTCATGATGAAGAGCATTGTGTTCCATATCTACCGTTTACTTGTAACCAAGGCTCTTCATCTGGTTTCTGCGATAGTTGACCATTTGTTGAATATTCTTGATCTT